AGCAGCTCCACAAACAATTCAAAACCCACAAACATGAAAACGGTAACGAGGTGACGAGACACAGGTGAGACTAACGAGGTCATTAAGAGAGAAGACAGTTCTGTGTCTCTTGTTGGTTTTTTATGTCATGTTGTGCTGATTTTGTGTTTGTTTACGGTTTAATTGTGTCTTTTTGTGGTTGTTGTGCGCCTCTTTGTGTGTCTTTCTTTTTTGTTTTTTGTGTGTTTCTTTGCAGTTGTTTTGTGTGTTTGTGGTTCTTTTTTTGTGTCTTTGTGGTTGTTTTGTGTGTCTTTGCAGTCATTTGTGTCTCTTTGTGATTGTTTTTTGTCTCTGTGTGGTCGCTTTGTGTGTCTTTGTGGCTCACTTAAGTTGTTTTGTGTGTCTTTTTGGTTGGTTTGTGTGTCTTTGTGGTTGGTTTGTGTCTCTTTGCGGTTGTTTTATGTGTCTTTGTGGCTCTGTACAGTTGTTTTGTGTGACTTTGCAGTCGTTTGTGTGTCTTTGTGGTTGTTTTTTTGTCTCTGTGTGGTTGTTTTGTGTGTCTTTTTGGTTGGTTTGTGTGTCTTTGTGGTCATTTTGTGTGTCTTTGTGGCTCTTAGCTGTTTTGTGTGTCTTTTTGGTGGTTTGTTGTCTGTTTTTTGTTTTTCACATGCTGATTTTGCCTGTCTATGGGTAAATTGTACCTTTTGTGTGTCTTTTCAGGCTTTTTTTGTATGTTTTAATCATTATTCTAAGTCTCTTATTTTGTGTTTTTGTGTCTCTTTATAGTCGTATTGTGTGTCTGCAGGTTTTTTTGGGGGGGTGTCTTTTTGTCATTGTTCTGTGTCTCTTGTTTTGTGTCTGCATGATTGTTTTGTGTGTCTTTCTGGTTGTTTTGTGTGTCTTTGTGTCTCCGCTGGGTTCTTGTTCCTCTCTCTGTCGATCTCCAGCTCTTTGAGGTTGAAGCTCTGGTCTTTAGTTCCTCCACAGATTTGTCTTGCTGGATGTTTTTCTGCAGACTTCCTGATGTTGTCCTCTACAATCT